GGGGGGGGGGGGGGGGGGGGGGGGGGGGGGGCAGGCGAGCGACCCTGAGGGCAACTGGCTGGGTAGATGGCCGCACATTACCAGCCCAGTTGGGGAGACAGAATTGATCGGGTCTGCTGTCCTGGAAGGGAGCTGGTTCCCCACTGGGCTGCACCATTGTTAAGGACACAAAAGCCAGGCATGCTGAGGTCACTCTGGGGTGTCCTGGCCCAGGTTCCACTCTGCTGGGGTGGGGAGAGGGTGTGCCTGATTGGGGGAGGGGCAGGATTCCAGCCCAAAGCACCCCCCCCCCCCCGCGCCCCCCCCCCCGGACAGAAGCCAGCCCAGTCTGAGCTGCCTTTGTTTTCTGCTGGGAGCAGCGACCGCCCAAGCAGGCAGAAGCAGGCAGAAGCGCTTTCCCGGCTGTCCACAGGACTGTCAGCCCCAGCCCTAGAGAGCCCTGAGCTGGCCTGGCTGGGGGCACACTCATGTGCAGTGCGGCTGGCAGGAAGACTCTAGCGCTGTCCCCCACCCTGAGCCTAGCAGGGATGAGCCCCCTCTGGGCTGGGGACGGAGGACGGGGCCAGCTCCTGGGGAGGCAGCCGGAAGCCTCTAGGCTCCCGGCCAGGCCAGAAGCACTCCAGGCCAAATCCGGTCCCTCTGCTCTGGGAACAGCAAACAACCGTCCACTCCTCCTCCCTCCCGTCAGCAGGGTAGCCAAGTGGCTTCCTTCACCTTGGCCTGTCCCCATTCCAGACCCTGACCCCTGCTCCCACAGTGACCAGGGAAGGGTCCCCTTACTGCCCCCACCCTTCTGACACTGTGTCAGTAAGGGTGTTAGCAGGAGTATCAGGGGACATAGTCGGGAGAGGGTCAGCCAAGAGAAGAGAGTGGCTGAGTGAGCCGGACACCAGGGCACGGGGCCGGGGGTGGGTGAGTGCCCCAGGGCCGCATCCGCAGAGACCTACTGCCCCCTCCAGTCCGGTCGTTGTGACCTTGAAGTGGCAGGGGCTCTCGGCCACTTGGGCTCCAGGGCCCTCTCTAGCTGGCGGGGCGCCGCTCGTCATCCCACCCTGCCCACAAGAAAGTCCTGGGGAAAACTCGCGCCAAGCCAGGGAGCACGTTGGGACACGCAGGAGTTAAGAGGCCAAGGTCGCCCCCGCATGGACCGAGTCCAGACAGAGCCCATATCTGGCCTGGCCGGGTGTGGGCAGAGGTCGAGGCGGAGGTTGGGAGGGTGGTCACTGCTCCGGGCCACGCCGTCGCGGCCACGTGTCCGCGGCGCAGGGCCGGGAAGAGCAGGAGCGCACCGGAGGCTCCCACGGCGTGCGTGCGCCCCGCCCCACACCGCCCGCTCCGCGCCCGCGAACCCCCAACGTGACCCCCAAGCCGGCCGCATCCCGGGAAGACGCGCACCCCCGCCGGCCGCCCCCCACCTCACCCAGCTCCGCCCTCCGGCCGCTCCCGCGTGGGCAGCGCGGCGGGCCGAGCTCGGGGTCGCGCATCCCGGGACCGCGCATCGCCGGGGCGGGGCGCGCGGCTCTGCGGCCGGGGGCTGACCGCGAAGGGCGGCGGGCGCCGGTCCGGCCTCGCACTCACCGAAATACACGGTCTTGTCGCACTTGGGGCACTTGGAGGCCATGGTCGGTGCGCCCGTCGGCCCGCGCCCTCAGCCCGCGCCCGTCTCCGCGCCGCCGCCGCCGCGCCGCGCCCCGCCCCGCCCGCCCGCTGCCCGCGCACCCATTGGCTCCGCGGTCGGGGCGGGGCCTCGGGAGCCCGCTCCGCGGGTCCGGCCGGGGGCGCCGCGGGGGAGGGGGCGCACCTGCCGGGGCCGCGGGGGTGGCCCGACCCGCCTGGCGCCCCGACGCCGGTGCCTCGCCCGTGACCATGGCGACGCCGGAGCCGGAGCCGGGGCGGGGCGGGGGTCCGCGGTCCCCACGGTTCCGGGGCATTCCCGGCTGGAAGGGCCTCGGCCCGGAAGGCCGGGCCCTGGACACGCAGACGGACGCCGGGCTTCGGCGCCCGGTCCCCGCCCCTGGGGGACCCCACCCACCCCGCCGCGCGCCCCCCGCCCCGCGTCCCTTTGTTGCTCGGTTTCCATAGTGACGGCCTCGCGGCGGGATCGGAGCCGGATTCCCGTCGGGCGCGGCCACCTGGCCGGGTCTGGGTCCCGCCTCGCCGCCCGCCCCCGCCTGACACAGTCGATGGTACTCGAGACTCGGTGGGTGGAGGGCTGGGCGCCCCACACGTCCAGAAACAGCGGGAGAGAAACCGCTGGAAGCGGGAGAGGGGGAGGGCGCCAGGCCGTGGGGGAGACCTGGGCGTGCCGCTGGCTGGCGCAGAAGGCACTGCCCCGAGCTCTCCACCCAGGGGCGGTAGGATGGGACAGAAGGCGGGAAGACCCTGCGTGCTCGCGGTGCAGGCGCTGTGCCCCCAGTGGCCTGGCACTGCCATCTGCCCGCGTCCCTCCCCACGACTCCGGCGGAGTGCATCCTTCCTGGACCCACTAGCTCAGGGTCCAGCGGGTCCAGAGCGCCAGCCTCCTGGCTTCAAAGCAGCAGGGCTAGGCAGCTGACAGGCACTCAGGGTCCTCTTCCAACCGGGGCGCTCCGGACCCCTCCACCCTGGAGCCGGAAGAACCTGGTCCTACCCACCCTGGAGTGGGGGGTCCAGGAGAATCCCCCCATCTCCTCCCTGAGGCTCTGCCTCCCGGTGAGCTCTTCCCTGGGCCTCCGGCCCAAATGACCCCACCCAGTCTGGGCAGCTCCCCCTGAGCACCCCTTCCTCTGCCTCAAGTACTGGCCAGGCTCCTGGGCCAGGTGTATTTGCACACTAGAGGAGTGAGTGAATCTGGGTCCCACAGCTCTCCAGAACCCGGACTTTCCCAGCCCCACCCCGGCCCAGCTCCCCGGGCCCCGCCCCCCAACCTATAGCCACTGCTGCTCCAGCAAGGACGACAGCCCAGAAACATGTGGCCCCTCCTCCTGCCTGACTGACCAGCCTGACCAGCCCCCCTTCCCATCCACACCCTGACTCTGGCCCCTTGCCAGGCAAGGCAGGAGATGGGGGTGGGGAGGCCTCAGCAGTCCTCTCTCCCAGGGCTGGCGGGGTCCAGCGTTTGACATCCCACTCCTTGCTGAGGCTGGACCTCAGGTGTCTTCTGGAAGGTTGTGTGGGAGGAGCCTGGGCCCAGCTGTGCCGGGACAGTGACGGGGCAGTGACAGGGCAGAGTAAAGGCCTTGGCATGGGCCCGGCACCTCTGACAGTGGGGGACAGATCCCCGATGTGACAGGACTCTTCTGGATCAGTGGACACTGAAAAGCAGTGTCCATCTCCGAAAGCCCAAAGGGCTACAGGGCAGGCAGAGACAGGGCAGGACAAGCCCCCAATGAACAGCAGGGATGGAGACAGCAGGGTTCCAGAGAAGCAGACAGGGCCCGTAGATGGCGGGGGCAACTAGCCAGCCAGGTGTGGGGGCAGGTCTGTTGTCCCCTGGGGCCATAGTAGCTTGGCATCCTGGCAATGTTGGTAACTAGCAAACAGGACCGTCCTGGCTCTGCTGCACGGACCCCCGGGCAGGGCGGGGGGGGGCGGGGTTTGGAGGTGCAGGCCCCTCCTGGGGATGACTCTTGTACCTGAAATCCCCTGCACCTGGCAGGGAGGGAAGGGACCCTTGCCCCACCCTCAGACCCTAGGTTGGAAAAAGGGTCCTAGGCAAAAGCTCCACGCGGAGACACCACAACCCGCCTCAGGGCAGGGTGGGGACATGAGGACTAGGGCCCACTTCTCTAACACCCTGGCCTGTCAACCTTACCGGGCCTCCTCCAGGCTGGAGGTGGGAGGCCGGGACTCCCTTATCTGTCTTCAACACGAAGCAGGAGCTGTTGCTATTTTAAGTCCCCGCTGAGATGTGCACACATCACAGCAGGACTGGGGGCAGGAGGCAGAGCTCAGGGAGAAAGGAGGGAGCCCCGCCTCTGCGGGCCGCTGGGGTGGCACAGACGGAGAGGTGTCCCCCTCCGCTGGACCCCGCTCTTCGGCGGCTGGATAGCTTGCACCGGTCTCCCCGGCCTGCAGGGGTGGGTGCACACGGACGGCCAGAGGTAGAGTTTCTGAGAACAACGTACTTGCTGAAATCTGAGCAAATTCTCACTCTGGAAACTCCACACCTGCTGGGGGTTGGCCCTGCGGCTCTGGGCAGAAATCCGCAGACAGCTGGGGCAGGGTTCTGCCAGGAGCAGGGGGGTGGGCCGGCCTGACCCAGCTCTGCCGGCTGCCCCGGTGGGATGAGAGCCACGCAGCCACAGGAGCCAGACACCTGCCAGTCTGGGTCCCAGGGCACGTCCAGGCCCCCACCTCCACCATCTCAGCCAGACACAGGGGGTCTCAGCTCCACAGTGGGAAGGCCCTGAGCTCTGGACAGCCCTCTCATGACCTCAGTGGGAGAGACGGGGCCCTTGGGCCACACCCTACACAAGGCAGGTATGTGGGGCAGAGACCGAAAACGACAGAAACCCCAGCCCAGCCCGGGGGCCAGGAGAGCCACGGGTCACCTGGTGCTCACGGGGGCTTTGGCCATGCCCGGTGCACAGGTGGGCCTGGGATGGCCCGAAGGCCCCAGGCGAGGGGAGGGACAGGGGACAGAAGACACGGGAAGGGCTGGTTGGTTTTTTTCTTTTTATGAGTTTTTTTTTCTTTGTTTTTTTTTAATATGAAAATTACTTGAAAAGACCAGGGGCCAACCCCACCAGGCAGCTCGGCCGGCCACTGGCCGGGCCGATCCTAACATTCCAGATGTAAGTTACAGAGCTTAAGTTCATCTACAAAAAAAGTAATAAAAATAAAATTTAAAATGGCACCTTCAACAGAACACAACGAGACTCCCGGCCGTCCCGCGAGGCCCGCAGCTGGTGCAGGCGTACAGGGACGGCCCCTCAGCTCCGCTCCGGCCAAAAAGTAAACACAAAGCTAAAAACGGCTCCTCGGCGTTCGGGGAATAAGCGAGACGGCACTTCTTCCCGCGGCGTCCCCGAAGGAGCGGCTTCTCTGCGGTGGGGCGGGAGGGGGCTACCAAAACCGGGCGGCGGGCTGGCGGGTGGGCGGGCGGGGGCTGTGGCCGCAGAGGCCTCGCGGGGCCGCGGGGCGCCTAGTCCTCGATGACGATGGGCTCGTCGTTGACAGGGGCCGGCGGGGGCGGCCGCAGCGGCAGGGCCTGGCTCTGGCGCAGGGCAACCGGCTTGTAAGGCCTGCGGGCCGCGCGCTTGGTCTCCGAGGACGACAGCAGCTTGCGGACCTTCCTGTGGACAGAGCGACGCCCACGGGTGACGAGGGCGTGGTGGCCGCCCCCGGCTCACCCGTGGCCCGGGGAGGCCCCCACCTGGTCTCCTCGGTGGCCATGTAAAAGACATCGTCAGGGGCGTCAATCCAGTTCATCCGCCGCCGCTTGACGGGGGGCAGGGAGCCCCCCCGGATCAGCCGCACTTTGGTGGGGTAGGACTTCCCGTTGAGCAGGAGGTTCCGGCTTGGTCCCTGCGTCGGGGGGGAGGCGTGAGGGGGGCCCCGGGGACCGAGGGAACCGTGTGCACGCACACATTCGGGCAGGGGTCCTGCAGGCCCCCCACGCCTTGTCGCCGGCTCACCCTCTTACCATGTGCCTGGTTTGCCCGTGGTTCGCCAAACCTGACGGGAGGAAGAAGGGAACATGAGGCCCGGCAGCCGGCGGGCAGGGGCGGAGGACACGGGGGCCTCGGCCTGCCCTGGCCCTGGCCCAGTCCAAGCAGCCCCCAGCTGACCCCACAGCTGCTGGGGCTCCAAGGACCACCTCTGGCCCAGCCTGGAGGACAGGGACCGCTGTGGGCTCGAGGCAGGAGACCCGGAGTCTCGGGTCTGACAAGCCCGTTCCCTGGCACGCAGGCCGCCCGCCCTCAACTGCGCGGAGACAGATGAAGCCGGGTTTACAGAGTAGCCAAGCATGCCGAGCCCGGCTGTGAACACTGTGGTGTCAGAAGCCCCTGCAAGGTGGCCCCTGCTCAGATATGCTGCACAGACCCCAGAAGGCCAGGCCATGCTGGGCTTTCTCCCAAGGGAGTCCAAGTGTCCCTCACTGACCCTGGGGCTGGCTGCCTTGGAAGAGTGAACAGAAGCTTCTAGAAGAGACCAGGCCAGATGCCTCCACCCTATGGGTTGGGGCCTGGAGCTGCAAGCCTGTGCCAGTGGCCCCCAACCAAGAAGGCCCTGTCCTAGGTCGTGGCTCACATGCCCCCAGACCCTGGCCCGGTGACCCCAGGGCCGCCACAGCCGCCCCAGCTCTACCGGCAACAGCGAGCGCAGACGCGGGAGTACTCATAGCAGCACAGGAACATGCCGTGGGAGCACGCGAGCCTGTCCTGCCGGGACTAGCTCTCCCCAGACACGCTTCTCGGCCAAGGTTTGGGTCTTGGGGAGCAGCTGTCCAGCCCCCCCCCCGCAAACCACCTGCTAGCTGGGGGCGCCCGGGGGCAGGGCGGAGGGAGGGCCACCGCACCAGGCCTGCAGCCCCCCAGCCCGGTGCTACTTACCCAGGTAAGTGCCTATCAGAGCGCCGGGCGCAGAGGGAAGAAAACACACGGTTAGTGTGAGACAGTGAGCTCACGCACTGCCACGGGCCGACGGGCTGAGGAGCAGACGTGCCAGGGGGGCCGGGTTAGTAAACGAGTGCCCCAAGGGTGTGGCCCAGGCCCAGAGCTCAGCTCATGCCTGCCCTGTGGTGACCCAGGGGGCCGGCTGTGGCCTCCCCTGTGCTGGGCTCGTGCGCATGGCCCCAGTGCCCCGGGGGGGTGGGCGGGGAGAGGGTGCACACCAACGACACCCTGGGGACCCGCATGCTAGGACTGAAGTAGAGAAACACACCAATTTGGATAAACTGAAAAAATCGAGGTTAATAAATTAACCTCGTTCGCCACACGGGCTAACGGCTTTTTACAAAACAAGCTCCAAGCCCACAAGCAGCGCGAGCATGGGCTTCCGCTTCTGCGAGACGTGATCGGGGGTCCGCGGGGCGTCTGCCACAGAGGGCCGGTGAGCAGGCCAGCCCTACTGCTGACACAGGGTGGGTGGCAGGCCCTGGCAGGAGGGCTGGGGGGGCGGGGGGCGGACAGCCTAGAGAAGAGTGGGCGGGCCCAGAGCAAGGCCAGGTTGGATGGCTGCTGCCTGCTGCCATTTCCAGGTCCCTTCTCCTGACCCGCCACCATGGGGGCAGGGGACTCTGGGCACGTCCATGCTCGCTGGCCCGTGGTGTCGGAGTGCCCACCCAGGCCCCTGAGCCTCTCATCACCAGGGGCCACGAGTGCATTCCTCCCGTCTTTCCCTCCGGCCTGCTTCCCCTGCCTCCCTCCCTCACGGATCCAGCCGCTGGCTGACCCTGGGGCAGCCAGAGCCACTGGGACCCACAGGCCCCCCACAGCCGCCACGCCACCCCTCTGTCAGCACCTCCTTCTGGAGCAGCCCTGGAACCCACGGGTGCCCCTTGCCCAGCTGAGAAAGCAAAGCAAGACCCTGAGCCGCTGCAGGGGGTGACTGTAGACAGGCCTGGACGCGTGGACACCCTGGACGTTGACAGTGGCGCCCGGGGCACCTGCTGCCTGTGCCCTCTCAGCCAGCCTCGGTCCCTTCCCCTGGGAGCCCAACCCCTGCAGGGCCGTGGCCTGGACCATGCCAGCAGCTCGGGCCTATCTGCCCCACCGGAGAGGCCAGTGTCCCGAAGGCCCCTCACCCCAGGCAGGGCACGTAGGAGGGCTGTAGGCACAGCACGGGCAGCCACGGGAGCGGAGGCTGACAGCATGCGAGCAGTCACAGCGCGACGGCGGACAGTACAGGCAGGCGGGGGCGCCGGGGCTACCCGAGCACGGACAGTCCACTGACCGGGCACCGGGAGGGCGGGGACGACCCGTGAGCCGGAGGCCCCAGGGAAGGACACGGCATGTGGGGGCCTGCGAGGGTCCCCTGCCCAGTGACGCGGGAGCGGGGGGGAGCGTGGGGAGCGGCCCGGCCCGGCCCGCGTGGACTGCCCCGTGAGCGTGCCCCGAGCCGCCCGCCGTGCACCATGCACGCAAGAGCACAGCACCGCAGGCACCGCCGGGGGGCTTGCACGGCGCCCACGCCCGCGGCCGCCCCAGGCCTTACCCCTACTGGGCATCAAGAGACGCTTCTTCATGCTGCCTGCCAGCGCCCGGCGGCGGGAGAGAGGAGAGAGAGCACGGTCAGCAGGTGTAGGCCAGGCGGGGACGGGGCGGGACAGCCCCAGGCCGGCAGGCCGCACCGGCCGAGCACGCAGGCCCCGCCTGGCCGCCCAGCGGACACTCACCGTCTACACCGTTGTGCTGTTCGTAGCTCCTCTTGCCCAGGATGGTGGGGGAGCCGTTGTTGATGACAGGGGCCGACTTGGCAGGGGTCAACCCGCCAAGCACACCGGATACGCTCTTCACAGGGTCGGGCTTGGGGGGGCGGGGATGGGTCTCTGTCGGGAGCGGCACAGGATGGGCTTTGTGGGAGGCGAATGGCAACAAACGCCCCCAGGCCCCACTGTGACGGGGGATGACCGCGGGGCCCGCTGGGGCAGACCAGCACCAGGCCCGCACCTCAGGGTGTTCTGGGAGCAAGGAAAAGCCAGGGAGGGCTGGGCCCCACCGATCACTGGACACACGCCAGGAGCTCCCAGGCTCCAGACACAGCCCCCAAAACAAGCAGGCCCATCAGAGGTGTCTAGGTCTGGGCCACCGGAGCTGATGGCAGGAGGCTGGCCGCCGGCCAGGCAATGAATTAACAGCCGGGCAGCCGAGCCAAGGACGTGTCCCACTAAGGGCTGGGCCATGGCAGGCTCAGGCTCGTACCTGCCAAGGCTCCCCAGCCCTTGGTGGCTCTCAGAACGGGGCAAGGCCCAGACCCACGACCCAGATCCTAGACACCGGATGACGCAAGACCCACTTGCGTGCACATGAACACACTTAGCTCATGACTCTGGAATGTCCTTCACAGAAGGTCAATCATCTCCATGCCGGGAGGGGCTGACCCACAACCCGGCCCTGAGCCCAGCAAAGTAGCCAGCCCTGCGCCCTCCCGCCCTAGCGGCCGGTGGCTGAGCGGTAGCTGGCTGAGCCACGGGGGTGCTCGCCGAGGGCACGCCCTGTGAGCTGCTGACCGGTGCCCGTGCCGCTCACGCAGCGATGGGCCTTCCTCTGGGATGGGGGTGAAGGACCACGCTGCAGGTGCCCACCACGGACGCCCATCCTGGGTATGTCCGACCCAAACCCTGGAACACGCCAGGTCCCCCCCATAGCAGTACAAAACCAGCAGGACGGAGGGTGAGGGTGGTGCAGGGACCACAGCAGCTCAGGCCCCAATCGCCCCTCCAGGCCTGGTATGGTGCGAGGTACCAGAGGGGCAGGCCAGGAGCACGGGGGGCGGTCAGCAGCAGCACGGAGGGTGCCCCCGCAGGCACCCCTGAGCGCACCAGCCACGCTGTGCCGGGGAGGGGCAGGCTCACCGAGATACCGGAGCACGGCTTCCAGGGGCTTCCGCACGGCCTGCTTCAGCACCAGCGGGCTCTGGGAGGCTTCGGGCAGCCGGGCCGTGCCTGCGGGGGCCGAACAGGTCAGGGGGCCCGGGGCGGGAACCCCACCCCTGCATCCCCTGCGTCCCCCATGTCCCCCACACGCATCCCCACCCCCACAGCACAGCCCAGGAGCCGGAGGCTGGGGGCCGACACTCACACTCGGCCTTGATAGCCGCGCTGTTGATGGGCACGTAGGGGTGGCGGGCGGCGTGCCACGGGCGCAGGATCTCTCTGCACAGGCGGCGGGCGATGCGTGTCAGCTTGGTGGTGTGCAGGTAGAAGGCCTGTCTCGTCTTCATGGCAAACTTGGGGCTCCCGCTGCTCCGGGCTGGGATGCCGTGGGGGCTCTGCGGAAGGGGGCGCGCCGCCCCGACACAGCGCCATGACCGCGGGCCGCGCGCCCGGCAGGGCGTGGGGGCGGGGGGGGGCGCCCGCTTACCATGTTGCCGCGGTTTGGTCCTGGCCTCTCTCCATCTAAGCGGGTGGGCATTTTCAAGCCACCGTACTTCTTCCAGTACGTCCAGCAAGACGCGCAGAGGCGACACTGCATGTTAGGGGGACCCCAAGAATACCACTGGTAAGACTGGGCGGCTACGGACAACAAAGTTGGAGACAGACGGGTCCTTAAGCAGAACCGGTGAACAGCAGAGAGCATCACACAGCGTCGCCCGCCCGCCCGCCGAGCGCCCCCCGCCAGGACCCCAGGGCGGCACAGGGCGCCCAGCGCGCGGTGGGCCCCGAGGCCGGGGGCGGGCACTTACTGTAGCAGCTCTCACAGGCTCGGCCGGCCCCAGGGCTCTGGCCCGGCGCCCCCGCGCCGTTCACCACGCCTGCCTTGACGCTACCGGCGCTGATCTGGTTCGGGTTTGGCTTGTTACTTAGGGTGAGGGAGAGAGGGCGGCCGTCACGGGGCGCCGTGCCGCTGGGCTGCGGCTCCGGGGGGCGGGCGGCCCCATCCACGCCGGGCAGGCGCCGGCGCTCTCCCCCGTGGTCCTGGGCGCAGCTGCGGCCGGCTCTGAGCCCCGTCTGCACCCCAGCTCTGGCTGGCAGAGGCGTGCTCGGCCCAGAGGAGGACCGCGTCCCTCCCGCCCAGCCCACGGCCCCCGTGGGCAGCGAGGACACGCCGGGGCGTACTTACTAGTTGGGGATATAGACTTGCTTCAGCTTGCTCTCCGCCTCGGCTGCTTTCAAGCGTTTCTGGAAACAGGAAACGGAGGTCAGGGACCCAGGCAGGGAAGGGCTGCCAGTCGGGGCGCGGGCAGGGGGCACAGGCAGGGGGTGCGTACCTGCTGCACGTATCTGTCCGTGGTCTTCCACATGTAGTAGTACTCGATGATGCTGGTGAGGGACTTCCAGGGCAGCTGCACAGGACGGGGCCGCGCGTCAGGCAGCAGGGCCTCCCCAAGCAAGGAGCCCCACCGTGGCACCACCGAGCCCCGCCGGGCAGGACCCCTCCCAAGGACGGCCGGCTTGCCACCACACGGCCCTCCCCAACCAGTGGAGAGGGCTCCCGCCAGCCCTGCCCGCGCCACCTGTGGGACCAACGTGCTCTGGGCAGGGACGAAGCACGTCTGTGGTGTGGACGCAACGTGGAAACCTGCCTCGTAGCTCGTGGAACTCAGATGCCGTCTGTACGCTGTCCCCAACCTGCTGCTGAGGTGGCCACACGCTCATGGTGGGGTCCCAGCCCCGCAGCCCCACGTGTCTGGCCAAGCGTTCCCTGCAGGCCACCTTCTGGCTGCTCTCGCTCACCGTGTCTGGGACCTCAGCAAGTCCCTCCTACGTCAGACTCCGGAGCGTGGGGACCTGGCCCTCTTCTCTGCCCTCCACGGGCCTGTCTACCTGTGGCAAGTCCCCCGCGCCTCCTGGAGGCTTGCTGGGATGCCCACCCGCGACCTGGGACATCCCTCCTCAGACGCCGGCCTGCTTGCCGTGTCCTGGCCCCACCCAGGGCCCCTGCCACCTCCACTGATGCACTCCCCACGGGGCTTGCCGTGCTCGACGCGGCTGTCCCTTTGGGAGCGCGTGTGTAGTCTGGCGTGGCACAAGGACAGAGGGGTGTGCGAGGCCACGGGCGCTGCCCGCGCTGGAACTGCCAGGGGCTCGCGGAGGGACAGTCCCCGGTGGACATGGAACAAGGACGCGTGAGGACAGGCTCAGCGGCTTCAACAGGAGCCATCAGCGGCCACCGAGCCAGGAGGACCCTGGTCCTGCCCCGGGGAGGGGTTGCGCGCGCACGTCGGGCACTCACGAAGTCTTGCTGGATGTCTGTGAAGTCTTTCCCGTACTTCTCCAAGGCCTCCTCGAACAGGCTGGCCTCGGAGGCTGACCACTCCTCCATCTCGTCCCTGCAGAGCACGGGCCCGCCCTGAGGCACCAGCGCCGAGATGGCCTTGGCGACGTCGTACACACTCTTGTGCAGCGTGTCCATGGCATGGAACTGTGGCGGGACACACTGGGTCACGCAGGCCCACCCACCCGCTAGGAGAGGGGGATGGACCCGGGAGACCGCTGGGGGTCCGCGGGGATGCTGGGGGGCTGCTCCCTGGATGAGCCCACGGGGCCCTCGCGGGGGGCAGGGGCAGACGCGTCCCACGTGCAGCCAGCGGACGCGGTCAACCGGTTTCCTTGCCCCTCCCGGCCCAGCCCACCCTTGCTGGCGCGGGAACCGGCAGGGAAACGTGCCCTGTGAGGGGCGGGGATGGGCAGGCCCCCCCAGACCCAGCAGCGGCAGCCGGGGTCCCCGCTTACCAAAGTGATGTCCCGGGAGGCGGCCGCGGCGCTCATGTGCAGGCTGGGCTGCCGGACGGAGCTGCTGCAGTCCAGGGCTCGCGCGAAGGTGCCCACGGAGCTGGGGTTGGGGACGGTGACCACTGAGCCCGACGCGCGGGGACCCCCCGGCCCTACCCAGAGCACAGGAGACGGTAGGCCCTGGCGACGTCGCACGTGGCTCCGCGCCCCGGGCAGGGCCCCCTCCGTAGTGAAGGCTCGGGATCCAGCTGAGGACCGCGGGGACCCCTGCACCCTCACAAGGCCCCCCCGCCGCTCGCCCAGCCCCAGGGCTCCTCGCGGACGAGTACGGGTGTGCCCTTCCTGGACCACTGCCTTCGTGCTGGCGTAGGGCCCGGATCTCAGGAACCGTGTCCTTCCTTCTCCGCTCCCCAGGCCCCGCCCTGCTGTGCGCAGACAGCAGCCCACAGCGCGTCCGGACGGGGACACGATCTCTGCCCAGTCATCCAGCCCCAGGAGCAGCCCCATCTGTGCCCCGCAGCTCGGCCTCTGTAGGTACCCGGCCCCCGAGGGGTGCGGGCAGGCGACCAGGCCCTGCCTCTCAAAGCCGGAGCCGCCCCAGGACTCCAAGAGCAGTCTCCGCGCCCAGGGAAGGGAAGGGACCCACCGGGCCACCACCAGGAACTGGTCGATCTGCTTGTCTATGAGCGGGTTGTGCGCCTCCCACACCTTGGTCTCCAGTCTGGACTGGTCACGGCCGTCCTCCTCACCTGCAAGAAACAGAAGGGTGACGCCAACGAGACCCTCAGAAGCCCCCAGGCTCACACCAAGGCCTTTCAGAACGAAGGGCCTGCTTGCTTCTGGGGCCTTGGCGGACGGGCCGGAGGGCCACACGATCCCCTGCCTGGTGGGCCCAGGAGGCGAGGCTGCTGTCGACGTGCTTGGCACCCAACGCATCTGCCGCTCTGCGAACAGCAGGCCGGGGCTGGCCGCCGGGGCCGGATGGGCCCGACGACAGGCTGGGGCCGGCGCCGCAGGCGTGACAGCGGCGGCAGAGACAGCTCGTTTTGGGTTTGCTGATCGGGCTCCGGATCCTGAGACAATGCGAGGTCCCGCAGCTGGGACACAGGACGCCGACTCGGCTGCGTCCAAGCACGCGTGTCTGCTCGGCGTCCCGCCCCGGCCGCGCTCCACCCCGCTGCACCCTGCAGACGCCAGAGCTGGGCTGGAGCCCGCGATCCGGTGGACGTGACGGCTTCGGACAGAGAAAGCTCACAGGCAGAGGGCAGCATGGATGGCACAGGAGACGCCCAGGGAGGGTTCACGCCCCTGCACAGCCAGCCAGCGTGTGAGGGACTCCCTGGCCCACGGCCACGGCCACAACCTCTCAGGCCTGCAGGCTGCCCGTGTGCTGGTGAGCCGCTCTGTGCCCCTTGCTGGTGGGGGCAGCGAAGTCCAGACTGAGGTCGGGGACCCTCACAGCTGTGTCCCCCCGTGTCAGGGCCCAGCCCACCCACCACGGAGTCTGCGTGAGCAGGCGGCTCGGGCCGGGCTCACAGTCGCCAGGAAAGCACGTGCTCCCTCGCCTCAGGGAAAGTCAGGCCTCGTGGGCCCAGCCGGGGTCACGGCTCCCCACCGCAGGGGTCCGGTTGCCCCGGACGGAGGCACAGGCTGAGTACAGGTGGGATGTTCCCGGTGTCGTGGGTGGCGTCCTTCCCCAGGCGAGCGTGTGTGGAGACCCTTGCCTGGGACCCAACGCCTCCCACCATCGAGCCTGTGGGCCAGCCCACGCTAAGCCCCTGCGGCCACCACGCTGCTCCCACTTTAGTTTCAGACGCGCCGCAGGCGGGGCTGCCATCTCGTTCCCCAGGAGGGTCCTGAGCTCCAGGAGCGAGACCCCCTCGCTACAGCACCCAGGAGCTTGCTCGGCCCAGGCCCGGGCCCCGCAGCACTGAGGCTGCCCTCGTGGCCTGGCACCCAGGTCCCTGCTTGTGAAACTAAGGGCCTCGGACACAAGCCATTCCTCCTTCAGTCAGACCGGCCGCCATCAGGACGGCGCAGCTCGTGGTGGGGCACGTGCTCAGGGAAGCCCCCAGATGCGGCCAGAGCCAGAAGGGGGGACGCAGGGCAGGACAAAGGGACCCCGTGTGCTTCCTGGTGTCCTGGCGTGGCTCCCCCCACGCGCCTCCTCACAACCAACCGCCCCGAACAAAAACAACCAGCTGACATGGGGAGGAAGCCGGTGTGCGAGCGCACACATGGGCACACACGCGTCAACACCAGACCAGCCTCGGGGAAGGGGGCTCACACGCGTGGAGGAGAGCCGCAAGCCCCGGGAAGGGCGTGTATCCTCTGGGAACAGCAGGCCCCGGGCCCTCGTCCAGCTGCCCGACAGAGCCACGGGCCCACAGACCCGGCTGGGCTTGGAGCAGGGACGCGACCCCGCCGCGCTGAGAGCAGCAGAGGACGCGGACGGAGACAGGGCCGGCTGCACGGAGGAGCTCACGGTGGAGCCCCCCAGAAAGACGCTCACGGCAACTGGTCACAGGCTCACCCATGGGTCCTACGTCACAGCTCCCAACTACCTCGGCAGAGAGAGAAGCAGGAGCGGGAGGGGTGACGGGGGACGGGAGTGTGCCTGGTGGGAGGGCAGGGGCTGGGGAGACCAGCGGGCCAAGGGCCCCAGGCAACACCCGGCCGCGGATGCTCCAGGCCTGCCACCCCTGCACCAGCTCGCGGGAGGAGGGATGCGGCCGGCCAGGCGCAGCCCACACTTCTCACGCCCCAGCTGCGACGGCCCGCGACGCCCACCGGACAGACGCGCACAGCCTCCCCCTGCACAGGCCACGGACGGCACCTCCCACGGGCAGGAGCCGGTGACACGGGCAAATTCATTCAAAAAAGTTTTTTTGGAGACAAAGCTTAGAAGAGCCGCCGGCTGTCCCCGCGCCCACCTTCCTTCAGCAGGTCGGTGATGTCCGCCTGGTACCGGTTTCCCACGCGGATCTCTCCCTTATCGGCCAGCAGGGTCTTCTGCTGGGGGTCGTAGACTAGAGAATAGAAGAAGAAATCCTGAAAGACAGCACACGACGTGGTGTCAGCAGGTCGCCCGAGGCCCCGGTGGAGCCCACCCCGCGCATGGGGCGCCCGCGCCGCTGGCCGTCGCCGGGCCGCAGCCCTGCAGGAAGCTCGGGGAGCGACGTGGGCGCACGGGCTGCTCGCGTGCAGCCCCCTGCAGACGCCCGTGCGCCACGGAACATTCTGGACGCGACGCCCCAGCGGCCCACCCTTCCGACCCCCGCTGCCTGCGTGGGACATTCGCCCGGGTTTCTCAGAAACCACGTCGAGCTGGCCAGCGCCCGTGTGGGCTTAGGGGGCTGGGCCTCTGGCTCAGCCCGGAGGCGGCCACGAGCCTCTGCTGCCCAACCCCCCGGAGGCTGGACCAGACACGACTACAGCACCTTCAGCACGGCCAGTGGCCTGTCTGCTCACTCACGAGAGCAAGGTGCTTCCTGAGCCAGTGAGTGGACACCGGCGAGAGCAGCCGGGCCTCGCCTCTGGGACGCATGTAGGCTGCCGGGCTCAGCCCCAGCACGGGCGCCCCCGGCACACCGCACCCTGCCCCCGGCGTCCCACGCCTTCTCTGAGCATCTGCGCGCCTGTTCTGCGGGACCGTCTGGGGGCCTGTCCCCTCCCGGCAGCTCCGCGGGCTCCCGCCTCCCGCAGTGCACAAAGGGAGGGCTGAGGCGGGGAACACGCGAGCCACCACAGGCCACCCACCCCTCCGCACCCCGTCCAGCCCCACGGACACACGCGTGTCTGGAGACATGTTCGGGGGCCACACCCGGGGCGGAGGGGGCTCGGGGGGTAGCAACCCACAAATACACGAGGTCCCCGCTCCCGTCTGTGGAACAGGAACGCGCCGCAGCCCCAAGCCCCCGCCGAGGCTGACGTTTCTGGCTTCACAGAAACAGAAGCCCTTCCCGCCGCCAGGCCAACACGGCTGCGGCTCACGAAGGTGAGGGTCCCCGTGACGCCCCTCCGGGCCGTGCCCCTGCCCGTCCTCCAGGGCTGCAGGTGGGGCCCCGGAGACCCTGCGTCCGGCCTCACCTCCCGCTCCAAGTAGGACTTGAGGGACTCGGTCTCGTTGAGCAGGGTGACGCTGCACTTCCCTCTGCAAGAGCGGGCACGGCGTCAGCGGGGCAGGGCGGCCCCCGGGCACCCTCGGGGCCGCCGGCTACCTGATGTGCGTGGCGGGCAGCGACTCCAGCTGCCGGGACAGGAACAGCTCCCGGTGCCGCAGCTGGTGCTTCAGCTTCTCGGGCAGGTCCACCATCTCAGGGTTCTCCATCTCCTCCTCGAGCTCTCCTGACGGGCGGGGTCCCGTGAGCCCGCCGCGCCCTGCCCGCGTGCCCCTCCCCCCAGCCCGGGCGGCTCCCCGCGGCACGCGGCTCTTACCTTCCTCGCCGTTGTCGGCCCCCGGTCCGGTCTTGTAGCAGACGGACAGGGCTAAACGGACAGACAGACAGCGCCGGGACGGGGGTCGGCGACGGAGCACCGGCCGCCCACCCACCCAGCCGCCCACGGGCTGTGGGGAGAGGAGGAGGGAGGGAGGGGTAGACACGGGGCCGAGGGCCTCAGAGGGGACAACGGGCAAGGGACGGCCCGGGTCAGGTCAGCGGTGTGTCCACCGTCCCACGCGTGCCGGCCCAGGGGGCCTCAGCCACACCTGCAGGGCTGGACCAACGACCCCGCAGGGAGCGCCCAGGACTCAGGTGTGCGCACGTGCGCGTGTGCGTGTAAGTGCGCGTGTGCGCGTCAGGGTACCGGGAAGCCCAGCCCAGCACACGGCACTGGGGGTGCAGCGCCCCTGGAGGCACAGTGGAGGTCTGGGGCGGTGTGCGGGGCGTGGGGGGCCATGCAAGGGCAGGGGCGTGCAGAGGTCAGCCACCGCACGGGGCTCCTGCACCTGGGCAGCCCTGGGTCTCTATCCGGGTCTCTCAGCCGCCACGTGGCCCTCTGCTGCCCCCCTGTGGTGGCTGAGGGAAGTCCCCGGGTGCGTGGTGCAGACGCAGGCGGGGGCTGCCAGGGAGAGGCGGTCTTGTTTGCTCCAGGGACATGGGCCCCGGGAGCCCAAGTGTCCACACTGCCGGCCTTGCGCCTCCCTGCCCGCTCGCTGCGCCCCCGCCTGCGGACATCACCTGTGTCCAGACATCCCCCAGCCAGCCCACCTTCTGCTCACACCTGTCCTGGGGCAGCACGACGGGCCCAGCCAGCGTGGCTAGGGACGGGGCCAGTCAGTCATCCTGGGCCCCTCCCCAGCCTGACACAAGCCCACCGTGGCCCGTCAGAGCCGCCCTCAGCAGGGGTGCAGAGGGGCCCCAGGAGTGGGAAGGGCTTGGGTCCTATGTGCACCCCCAGGACACTGGGAGAGCTTCCCACAGCCCCGTGCCCCCCACCTCAGCACTCCAAGCCTTCCTTCGGGCTCAGCCTCCAGGAGCCCAGGGAGTCACGAGCTGGGGAGGCAGCCTGTGTGTCCTGGACCACCGTGTCCTGGTCCTGGACCCCACGTCAGGGGCTCCGCCCCCCCGACCAGACCTAGCAGCTAGCTCCGGGCGTCTAGGGAGATCAGCTGTGCCTGCCACTCTCCCAGCACAGAGGGTCCTGCTCTCAGGACAGCTCTGCGTGGGCATGAAAGGCTCGGGCCAAGGGGCTGTGGCCACGTGTGCTGTGACCTGAGGAGACCGTCCCAGTTCCCTCCAAGGGGTCAGGACTGAGCGGACAGCGGCTGGGACATCCCCACTGCTGGGGTGACCCATGCGGCCCAGGGGCATCTAGCCTAGGCTGGGGCTTCTGTCTCTGAAGAAACCCTGTCAGCTGATGGACGGGAAAGGCCAGAGGCCTCCAACTGAGCAGTAGGCTCCCCGGGTCTCTCCCTCCTGCTGGAAGAAGGGCCCGCAGAGTGACCGCATGCCCGCCCCTGACACTGGGCTGCAGCACGGGCACCACGGCAGGCGGGTCTCTCCTGGGCTGCACCAGCAGAGCTGGCTCACAGAATGTGGGTGCTGGGAAAACCACCAGAAGACTCAGTGGCCAGCACAAAGCGTGGCGGCTCCCAGAACGCAGAGGGAAGGTCCTGCCCGGGGACGGACCCCATCACGCACCCCACTACAGTGCTCTGGGGGACCCTCAGGTCCACTGCCTCCCCCCCACTCCCACCAGCTCCCATCACATAACACCAGCCCAGTGCCCTCCTGGAGCTGACCTCCATGGTGCCCCACAGCGGCAGAGCCCGGCCGTGGGAACACCGTGGGCCGCGTGTGCTGCGTCTGGGGACCGTGCCACTCTGGGCCGGGCAGCGGACACAGGTGAGGAGATGCTCAAGCATCAACACCCCAAGTCAACAGTGACCCCCGGGTCCCACCGTTTACGCTTCATCTACGACTGGACACAGGCCACCGGCATCATGAGTGCACAGTGGCCAGTGAAACCAGAGGGGGGCATAAAGCACACCAAGGCCCAGGCCCACGGCCGCCCCACGAGCCCAGACATGGCCCCCACTGTCCCCTGGGAAGCCAGGCAAGGCCAGCCAAGCACCAGCTCGGCTGTGCACCCCTGTGCGGTGCAGGGCCTGTCCCAGGGCCCCACTGAGCTGTGCCGATCTGCCAGGGGCCCCTAAATGCGCCTCAGTGCTTCCGTCCCTCGTCCCTGAGGCCCTGGGAGACCCGGTCCTGGACCCACTGCCTCCAGCCCCTCCAGGACCCAGGGTGGAGGCCGGTGTGGCCTGGATATGCAGCCTCTCCCACCATCATGATGGGGGACAGGCAGGGGTCCCCCCCCAGCTAGGCCATCCTGGCTCCCCCGTGTCTGGATCCCCAACCCAGAGGGACAGGTGGGGCCCACGCCCGCCCAGACACACCGGATGAGCTCATGAGAACAGCACCTGTGCCCAGGTGGGACGGCCTCTTAGGCAAGCACCGGGGGACCAGCGGCAGACTCCACACCCGCTTGGAGCCGTCCTCCTCCGACAGAGTCCAGAACCCCAGCCCAGGCTGAGGCAGCTCCCACCCCAAGGATGGGGACGCTGGGAATCCCCCCATCACTGCTGGCTGGAGGGGCCACGTGGGACCCTGGGGCACGGAAGCAGGTGCGGCCCAGTCCCCAGACCGTGGCTTTCTGTTTGCAAGCGGGGACACTGGCCCCCGGCTGGGAGGCGGCTCACGCTAAGCTGCTGGGAGCCCCTCACGCCGCAACTTCTGAGACTCAGGTTCCAACTACAGACGGACTCTGTCTCGAAAGCACAGCTCCAAGCAGCACTGACAACCTTCCAGTGGGGGCCCCGCCCCCTCCTCTCCCCTCCCCTCCCCCACAACATCCAGGCAGTGCTCCCCAAGTTAACCCTGTGAGCAAGAAACCCCAGGGAGGCGCACCAGGCCGGCGGCCCAGAGAGGCCTCCAGGACCCCAAGAGCCAACCCTGGGGGTGGGGGGCGCAGGGCAGGTGGGAGCCGCAGACCCAGCTGTGCCCTGGGCCACCCCTGTGGGAAAGGCCGAGACTCACTGGCGTGCTTGTCTGCCAGGGCGATGAGGGTGCTGGAGATGTCGCGTCTGCGGTAGAAGCACACCACCTTGGCCTCCACGTTGCCGTTGGCCGTCTGCAACAGCAAAGCAGGGACTGAGAACACATGCCCCCAACGGACCGCTCCCAGCAGGGGCGGCCCCCAGAAGGGACCTGGGCTGGGACCTGTGACCCAGGGAGGGGATGCACGACGGACCTAAGCCCAGTCCGGGCTCCTACCCACCCTAGGTCTATCTTCCCTCCACCCCTGGTGCCATCTGTGGACACAGCTGACCCTAGCCACCGGCCCAGATTCACTCCCGGTGGCCTCTGTGTCCCTCCCATAGGTCTTGCTTGCTCAGGGCCAGAACCTGGTGGACATCTGGTCACCAGCATAGGACGACCATGACCCGAGGTTGGCCAAAGCCTGCCGTGCCCTCGGCCCCTGGAGTCCCTGCCTTCCAGCACCGCTCTGGGCCTGACCAAGGCCAGCACACCCCTGAGCTGACCCCGGTGTGGAAACGGAAGCAGCCAGGGCCATCTGGAGGGCTCAGTCTGGTAAGCGTCATACTCTGGAGTTCAGTTCAGGTCCTGATGGCAGGGTGGTGGGATCGAGCCCCACATCGGGCTCTGTGCTCAGCGGGTGTCTGCTTGAGATCCTCTCCCCCGCTTCCCCCTGCTTGCGCTCGCCCTCTCCCAAATACGTCCATCTTGAAAATATACCCAGAGGCAGCCCACGAGAGACTGGGAGCGAGCGGTCGACGCCCCAGCCCTGGGGAGAGGCCTTTACGGACCTGCACGGAGCTCCACAAACATGGGAGGAGAACAGAACGCTGAAGGAGAGTCTCATGGGAAGAGGGGACCTTTCCTCAACTCACAGGGACATGAGGCTTCTATACCACGACTCCGTACAACTCAATGCCGGCATCTCTATCATTAAAATCGTCTTTACGGCTCAAAAGTTTTAGTTATTTAATTCTGTGAAGCCGACAGTCCTTCAAGAAGTCTGGGACTTTCCGCGGGTGAGCACGAAGGCCAGGTAGGACCCACTCTTGGCCCCACACACTTGCACACACGCGCAGGGCTGGGCCCCGACAGCAACCGCCCTCCAGCGGGAGAATGGAAACTCTCCTACCGAGTATCAGAATGGGGGGCACCAAGAATGCTGGGGGGGCACCCAGTCGGCAGCCCACAGGCACGAAACCGTGAAAGGCGCCATTTGCCACGACAGCTACAGACCTGGGGACACTCTGCATGCACAGGCTTCCTGAGGCTGCCCCACGAAGGACCCCGGATCACCACAGATCTCCTAGGAACGGTTCCAGAAACCGCCCGCTGGGGTCCAGACGAGCCGCGTCCACCGGGCTGGGGATGCCCAGGATGGTCATCAGGGCCACATGGGCATGGAGGATGAGGTTGGACCCATGGCCACCGAAGCCTCATCCCTGGGGTGGGATGGGATGGCCGCCCTGTGTCTGCAGGGCACAGCCCGCGGCCCCCACTCAGGGCCCTGCTGGGGTCCCTGCACCCCAGCCTGGCAACGGGCGCTGCCCTGCACAGCCTGGGTGAGGCCTGGCTCAAGCCGGGCCCTGGAGACCCAGGATACCCAGGACTCCCTCTCCCAGGAGCTCCCCTTGCTGGCGCTCAGGACTCCCAGGGGCCCCACCCAAGCTGCGGTCTGCACACACCGAGGCAGGAGGCTGGCAACTGTCTCCTGACACGAGGAGAGCGTGCAGGGCCGGGGCAGGCTCTCTGGGCGGGTCTCAAGACCCTCCCGGTGGGGGCCACAGCCCCAAATGGTCTAACCTTCATGCGCCAAACCAGATGCTGGTCTTCTAACACTCCAGGACTCCCTGCCAGCCTCTGCTACCTTATGGCACCTCTGGCCTGGCTGCCACCCCACGTCCCTCCCCAGGCCCCTGCTCCTTTTCTTCCAAAACAGCAACTTCCGCCAGCGCTGTGCAGACCCACCCAGCTCCGAGGAGAAACGCCAACAACTACCCTGAAGGCCACAGCCCAGGGTCACCGCACTGATGCAAGCCAGCTCCGCAGGGCACCTCGTGAAAAGGGACCCAGCGCGACAGGACCACTGCTACGGGTCTGCAGAGACTCCCCGTTTACGGAAAAGGGGCAGAACACGGTGCCCCTGCCCCCTGCCCACCAACACCCCCTCAGGTGCCAGTTCTGCCCTGCCCCACCTGCCACCAGCCCCCACCTGGCGTGCAGCCCAGCCCTCGTCTCCCGCACTCCCTACTGACCGCACGCTGGACTCTGGGTCTCCGGGGGTACCCCCAGCTCCGCAGCTAAGCCCAGGTTCTGGTTTTATTCCCACCAACAGCTCCGGGTCCTCCCTCGCACCCTGGACTGCCGCCCACCATGTCCCAGGCCCCTTTCTCTGCAGCATCGGTGCTCCTGCCAGACCCTTCCTTTCTCCTACAGCTGGTTCCACCAGCGCAAGGACGTGGCTTTCCACGTTCAAGGTGTCCTTTGAACACGTGGCGCCTTTGAGCCATTCTTCCTGTGCCTGAGGGGCCCGTGGGCGCGGTGGCCCCACTAGGAGGACCTGCAAACAGACCTCCAGGCAGCCCCTGCCGGAACCCGGCCCGTGAGGTGGATCTGAGTCGACTTCTCCAGCAAGGACTGAGCCCCACGTCCCACGGGGCAGCAGGAGAGGCTGGCGGGGCCCGGGGGCCGAGGACGCACCAGCCCACACTGCCTGCAGACTGGCACCTCCCACCCGGCTCAGCCGCCCCCACTCTCCACACTCTCTGGTGCAGGGAGGGTCCCCCAAGGCCTCCTGCCTGGAGCACCCGCTGCTGGGGGCATCTCACGCCCTGTCAGGGTCCCCTAGCTGCCTGCCCCGACCTGACCTGTAACGGGGCTACAGGCATGCGGACACAGCGTCAGCTGCGGCCACTGCCAGGCCGGGCCCCAGCTATCTGCGCCTCACTGTCCCCACTGGCCCCACAGGTGGTGCGACTGCGCTCTCAGCATCGGAGCCACATCGAGGGTCAGAGGCCAGGCTGGCCTGTTCAGGGAGGCCACCTCCAGCCACCTGCTGACCCAGCCACTCGAGACCCAGCATCCACGGCGGCTGCAGGGTTGGCCCCTTGTGGCCCCCCCACCATGCTCTCCACTGCCACGGTAGGAGTCCCCGAGTCAGCATGGGCCAACAGGTGGGTGGGTGACCACGGGCTCCTGTCCAGCTGTGATGCTGTCCACCCCTTCTCCAGCCGTCCCTGGCAGGTGGCCAAAAGCGTCCCACCAACAAGGTGCCTGGAGGGCACATGTCCCAGCGGGGGTCTCCTGATGTCCTGGCTGCCTCCCTTGGCCCTGCCCCCTCCAGCCCTAGCCCTGGGCCTTCCAGGCGCTGCCAGGCTGCTCCAACCAGCCTCAAGGGCACAGGCTCCCGGCCCCCCATGTGGCACGTGCAGCAGGAGGCTCTTGGTGAGCAGGGCCAGCGGGTCAGGGCTCAGCTGCGACCCAGTCTGGTCTTCAGGGGACCAGCACCCTGACCACCCCGCCCCGTCCCGCGTGACCCAAGAATCCCCAGCCACAGTGCTGCGCAGCCTGAGGTCCGGGATGGAGCACCGCGGGGGAAAACAGGTCTCTCCCTGGGGAGGACTCCTCCCCCGGCAGCCCCAGGACCTCAAGGCAAGGAGAAGCCGCAGGGAGTCCACTGACCCAGGGCTGTACCCGCCTCTCCCCTCGCGCTGCCCAGAATGCCTCTGATCAGGAGGCCAGCAGGAGAGGCAGGGAGGGCGGCCAGCGGTCTGCAGGCCTGGAACAAGGGGAAAGTGGGTGCCTCAGGGAGTGGGAAAGAGGCAGCAGGTGGACAGGGAACCCCCAGCCAGGGGGACCCCACAGGGCGTCCACCCCAGACGTGTGCCAGACGTCCCTGCCCTGCTCAGGGCCCTGCTGGACACACCCCTGTATGAGGTCGCAGGGACCTCCCCGCTCGGCTCTCCAAGGAGAAGGACCCGGGTCTACGCAAGTGACCCTGGGGACAAACGGACCAAAGGGTCCGGGGCCAGCCCTGAGACCCCAGGTGGCACTTGAGACCCCAGCCCGCAGGCCACACGCGCACACGCTACCTTGTTGAGCTCCTCGATCCTGCGGATCAGGTACGGGTTGCTGGAGGAGTTCTCGAAATAGACGTAGTCTGCAACAGGAGGAGAGAGCGTCACCCCACAGCACGGAGCCCTGGAGACCAGCGGGCTCCTGACCCCCCTATCCCCACACCCTCAATTCTAGGGGCCGTGACACGGGAAGGAATGGAGAAGTTCGTGCCCCCAGCATCTCGGAGGGAAAACGAGGGAACCAGAGACATGTTGGTGGGTGCTAGGCACGGGTCCAAGATGAGGGGGAGGGGGCCGCCCCCAGCAGAGGCCTGCAGCCACCCCCGCTATCCCAGGGACCCACACCAGCGGCCCCCAGTCACACAGGCCGCGGCAGACAAGCGAGCACAGAAACCAGCAGGCCTGGAACCCACGTCAGCGTGAGGAGGGCTGCTGGGCCCCTGCACGTCCTCCCCCGGCCCCGTGCACCCCTGGCAGTGAACGGGGAGACCAGAGATTCCTGGGCAGAGGCCAAGCTCACTGGGACGGGGACAACGTCAGGTGCCGGAGGAACGAGGTCCAGAGATCCTGCCGCCACCTGCCAGGTCCCCCAGAACACCACGTCATTATAAGCGTCCCTCCGGCTCCACAGCGGGCGGCCTGGGCTCTGTCTCAGGGAGGCTGGCAGGCTCCCACGGAAGCCCAGGGCAGCCACGAGGCCGCACGCCGCCCTGATGTTGCCGGTGCTCCACGGGGGCCAGGGCAGAGTCAGCGCCAGGAAAGGGCCAGGCTGAGGTCCCTACCAGCCTGCACCAGGAACGCTGGCCCCCGTCCCCCACTGCCCATACGGAAGGCCCGCAGGCCCTCCCCCCGCAGCTCTGCAGAAGACGGGGGGAGGCTCGTGGCAGCTGGAAGCCGCTTAAGTCCTGGCCACGCCAAGTGCCCACACCGAGCACAGCGTCTGCCGGAGGACCTAGCCCAGCCCCACCCCCACCAGAGGTCCTACGGGTACTGGGGGGGCCCAAGCGAGCACCTGCCTGCACACCTGCCTGCGCAGGTAGAACGCGTGACTTTTATCTCGTAAATCGTTGCTCAAAAAGCCACTTCTATGCAAAGTTATAAAACTCTCATTCTAAGAAACGCACGTGGCTCTCCTGAGGCCCCCGGGCCCTGGGGCTGGCCGTCCAAGCAGGTGCACCCCGCTCCCCCCGCGCCCCCCACCCGTCCCCGCGGCCGGCCACAGCCTGGCGAGCGCCCCCGCCATTCACAGAACTGCAGGCTTCGGGCGAGCGGGCTTGGCTGCGGGTACGTTACCCGTTGTCGATGACAAAAGCAACGCGACGAGACAGTGAGCCCGGTGGACGCCAGCACACGCGGGAACACGCGCGACACAGCAACGCCGGAGGGAGCAAAGCTGCTCCTGAAAACGGGCCGTGGCGGCTCAGCCTCCGATCGGACGGCAAGGGAGAGCGAGAGACGCTGCAAGGGCGTGCGGGGCGCAGTGAGCAGGCGCCGGGCAGGAAGGGACGTGCGGCGGCTCTGGGCCAGAAGCCTGCGGCTCGGGGGAAACGGGGCAAACCCAAGCTCGTGCCGGAGAATGGGCAACCCTGTGCCCGTTGAAGAAGTCAGGCTCCAGGGCACCGAGGGGCTCAGTCCGCAGGGCGTCTGCCTCCGGCTCGGGTCATGCTCTCCAGGTCCTGGGATCGAGCCCCACATCGGGCTCCCTGCTCGGCGGGGAGCCTGCTTCTCCCTCTGGCCCTCCCCCCGCTTCTGCTCTCCCTAAAATAACAATCTAAAAAAGAAAAAAGTAAGGGGGTGTCGGCCCATGGATTTAAAAATTCTTCCAACTGTAACCACAAAGTAGAAACAGGCACAGAAAGAAAAGAGAAGAAACAGCCCCCCAGGCCCAGGTGGCATCCCTGGGGACCCCAGGCAACACCAAGGGGGGACCCGACGCCAGTCCCACGCCTGCTGTACCCGAGAGCAGACGTGGAGACCACGCGGAAACCGACGCAACACCGCAGCCCCCGGGGTCCGTCCCAGAACGCAGGGACACACGCGGTGCGGACAGGAACTCTCCAGCAGCCTGGACAACAGGGGACACCGCCAGGCCGGCCACAGGCGCCCGGGGAGCCCTCGGCTACCCCCACACCGTCGCTCTCCTCCCAAGCAGGAGCACCCCAGGCACAGCCCCGGGCAGCACTCCCCAAGTACAGAAATCCCGAGTCCACGTGGAGGTGACCGACACGGTGGGGGGGCGGGGGCGCGAGCTAGGGGACACGTGTGGCACCGAGGAGCGTCCCTTCAGCCAAGGGCCCACGGTCCCGGGCAGGGACCAATGAGACAGCAGCAGCAGAAGGGAAGGGACAGCCGCCCACACAGGACCGCCGAGGGGCCGCAGGGCCACACGGGGAGTCGGTCTGGGGCCCACGGGGCAAAAGGCTCTGCCCGAGACGCCGGGTGGGCACTAAGGCGGCATCGCCATGCCACGGAGCCTCCATCAATGACGCTGGAGGGAGACGGTCAGAACTGGGCACGGAGCTTTAGCTGACAGGACCGTCTGCGTCACTGGGATCCAAGGTCACTGCACTGCGCCGTCCAGGGCAACCGTGACGCCCGCTAGTACGGATGTGTGGTGCTGCTGACACGTCTCACCGTCACGGTGCACGAGAAACCCATGCAGAGTGTGCGAACAGCATCACAGGACAGCGGCCCGTCCCGCGGCGCCCGCGGACCCCGGTGACAGGCCGGCCGAAGCCTGGGCCCCACCCCGTGCGCCCTTCCCTCCGCTGTTCCGCCTGGCGCGGCGGTAGCCACCACGGGAGGGGCCTGCACTGCCCGCGGCGCTGACTGTCTCGCGCATCGGGAAGCAGGGCCCCCGCGTGCCCGGGGTCCGGAGGGTCCACTGCAACCCTGGATGAGGCCCCGTCCCGGCACTCGGGGTCGGCCCAGCTGCGCCTCCCGCCGGAGCGCGGGCCACGCGGTCGCCCCACGGGGCTCCCAGAGCTTCCGGCGCCGTTGGCGGTCACCGCAGCGGCCTTGCCTGGTCAAGGTGCGGCTCGGGGGCAAGTGCGCCAGGTCACGCGGCCTCACAGAGGACGGTCAGCAAGCAGCTTCCGCAGCCACACGGGGAGAGTGGTGGGTGACAGCGGCCCTTCTCCTTCCCCAGGACTTCAGTTTCTCCCCCGGATTTAGGGAACCGCGGTAAGATTTGGCCCCTGCCGCACACTGGGCTGCCGCAGGGCAGCTGAGTCGAGCGAAGACGAGATCCACGCGGGGTCGGAATCCACAGAGCTGAGGACAGTGACGCGCACAAGGGCGGAGGCGGTCACGCCGACCCGCGGGTCCCATGAGGCAGGAGGCTCACATGTCCCTCAGCCCCCAGCCCCCAGCACAACGTCTCTGAGCCCTTGTGCAGTCGGGAGCCTCCCACGGTTTCCGCTCCGTCCCGCATGCCACACCTGTGCCAGCCGGGGTGTCCCGGAGACACGGCCGGGGCAGCCCCCCACCTGCACCCATGAGCGGGGCCCCGAGGCAGGACGGTCTCTGGCCGCAGCGCATGGCGGTTCCCCCCACACAGCGTCGGAGCAGGCTCCCCGCCACGAGCCGGCGGCCCCACTTGCGTCTGCGCTGGGCCGTCTCCTCCCGACTTGCCCGACAGCACGCTCGCAGCAGCTGGTCCCTGCACGGCCCTCGCGCCGCTCCGCGGTCACGTCACTCGGGAAGCGGCTCTGCTGGCTGAGGAACGTGGGGCAGGAGCCGTGGACGGCAGCGCGTCTCCTTTTCTTCCGTGGAGAAGCTCCGCTGGGACGAGAGGCTCCACCTTAAATCCTGCACCTTTCCTGACCGTCGTCTGCCCGCAAGCCGGGCGAAGGCAGTGGCGCCAACACAGACAGCGCTGGCCAGCACAGCGGCCGTGGCCCCAATGACACACGGTGCTTCGCCACCTGAGCCGAGCACACAAGGACGCGCACACCGCTGGGGTCCGCATACACACTGCCTCCCTGTGTTCCCGCAAGGGGAGGTCACGGCACAGAGACCGGCGCGGCACTCCGAGCGCTGTGGAGCAGGACTGCGTCCACGGACTCGGGGACAGCGCGGTGACGGCTCGGGTGACCTCAGCCGCACCTGGGAAAGTTTACCGTGACGCCGAGACAGGAGTCTCCTGGAATTCTCGTGCGTGGGACACGCCGCAGGGGACACTCTCCGCAAACAGCCCGCAGAGAGCCCACAGCGTCCCCATCAAAACCCCACAAGCCGACCCAGAGCCACGCAGGAGACGCAGACATCACAGCAGGCCAGACGCGTCCGAGAACACGGACCCGGCCTCGCGGCTTCCCGGGGGGGGACCAGCGGCGGGAATCGCAGAGCCACGGGAAACCAGTATGACGAGGGAGCCGGCCCGTCCGGTGAGAAAGGACACTGGCGACAGACGACAGGGCACTCGTGAACGTGCAGAAAAGAACAGAGAGCCTCAAACTTCACGTCGCACGACATCCAGCCCAACACGGATCACAGGCTTGACAGTGAGACCCATGGGGGTGCCGGGGGGGCACAGTTGGCTCAGGTCGTGGTCCCGGGGTCCTGGGACGAAGCCCGTGTTGGGCTCTCTGCTGAGCACACACACGTTCTCTTACTTTCTAATAAAGAAAATCTTTAAAAAATTAAAAAAAAAAACCCACACTGGGGCGCCTGGGTGGCTCAGTGGGTTAAAGCCTCTGCCTTCGGCTCGGGTCATGATCCCAGAGTCCTGGGATCGAGCCCCACATCGGGCTCTCTGCTCAGCAGGGAGCCTGCTTCCCCCTCTCTCTGCCTGCCTCTCTGCCTACTTGTGATCTCTGTCTGTCAAATAAATAAATAAAATCTTAAAAAAAAAAAAAACAAACACAAAACCACAAAAATTTTAAGAAAACAGGACAAAACCTCTGTGAGGCTGATTCAGGCCCAGATCATAACGGAGGAAGCTCGGCGCGGCTCACGTGGAACTCCAGAACCACCAACGAGCTCTCCTGACTCAACGCTAAGAAAGGAAATTACCCGATTCTTAGAGCAGGACAGAGGCCCGGGCGCGCCTGAGAAGAGGCCCCAGGCTGCTCGTCGCCAGCAGGGACCCGACGCCGCACGCCCAGCGGGACCGCGAGATGCTCGCCGTGCAGCGAGCGACCCGGTCCCGGCGTCTTCGTCCTCCAGAAACCAGGACGTGTCCGCGGAACTCACCCCCAGAGTCCACGCCAGCTTCCCCCGTCGTCACCAGAGACCGGAGACGGCCCGCCAGGATCCGTCCCCTGCAACTCCAGGATTCGGGCTGAGACCCTGCCTCCCCACGATGCCCCCCGCCCCACGACAGTCCCCCTCACGTGACCCCAGAGCCCACGCACCCTGGAAGGCGGCCTCAGCAGACACTGAGTCTGGGGGAGCCTGGGCCTCCCAGCGTCCCAGCGTCCGGGTCCGAGAAAACTCAGCATGTCGTCCACAAACGGGCCGGCCTGTGGCATGCGCCAGGACGGCCCAAACATGCACCAGCCAGCGACACGGAACCCACCTCGGAGGGCATGTCTGGGGGACTCCACCTCCGGGACACTCTGCTCAGCGGATGCTGGCGACCCCCGGGGCTGCGGACGTGCTCTCCAGCACCCCGGGGCACGGCTGGCAGACGGGCCAACCCCGGCGAACCTGACCGTGAGCGCACACAGCACACACCCAGCCACGGGACGGCACAGGGGACGTGCACTCTGCCGTCACCGCTGACACCAGCTGCGACCACCCAGGGTCAGGGTCTGCTGGCCTGACCGCCACGTGACCCGCTGCCGTGCAGGTTCCGGGTCAGAGACGCCCGACTCAGCGTATGTGGCCGGCACCTGGAGGAGTCCCCCCGACACAGGCGTGCCCTCGGGCGGCGCCCCGGCCTCCCTGCAGACCGCCACACCAGACAGCACGCCGAACGCAAGTTTAACAGGAGGACAGACATGTGGAAAACGTGTCACTGGACAGGCCAGGGAGGAGCCCTGCTCACGGTGCGGAATGAGACGAGGAGGCAGCGCGTCGGCCCCCTTCGACCGCAGCTGGGGCCTGCCCGTCAGGGACGCGTGTCTCAGAGACCAGCGCGGGTGCCCCGAGTCCTGACGTGGGTCACAGGTCGAGGTGGGGGGCAGGCGGAGATCGGGACCCGCGGGAGGCACGGGGACGGTCCCCAGCAAGAACAGAGCCCGCGTGGCAGACAGCGGTCACGGCGAGGAGACCAGCCCACGGGGTCAGGGGCCAGGGGCAGCCGAACAACAAGGGTCCCACAACACAGCTCGGCCGCGCCCCACCGCACCCAGCACCCCGCCCAGCACCCCGCAGGAGCACCACACCCCGTCTGTCAGAAGCCACTCCCACCAGCTCTGCTGGGGACGGGACCCCCAGCTCCAGGCTTCCGCTTTCCTCCCCCACAGTGGGGATACCGGCAAGCCTAGCACTTTCTTTCTTTCTCTCTTTTTCAAATTGGGGGATGGAACCAAGAGAAACACACGCAGCGGCCAGTAGCCCAGCCCGGACACAGCCCCGGAGCACAGGACACCGAGTGAAACCCGACTCACGTCTCTGCTGGACCATCCCCCAGATGGTGCCCGAGGGTCCCAGTACTTCTACCACGTAACCCTGGCCGCCCTCCCGCAGGGATCCTTCCCCCACCCTCGCCCACTGGGCCTCCCACCCACACACCCTACTGGGCTGGGGCACAAGGGGACTCCAGAGGACCCCCCAGAATATGGTGGCAGCCCTGCCAGGAGAGCCAGCAGCACAGGACCACATCACCGTCCCCACAGAAGTCCGGGACCAAAGCCTGCCTGGAGGGGGAGGTACACAGGACGGGGGAAGGACAGAGACCTGAATGGGGCAGGGCCCCTGTGTGGGCACACACGTGCTGGGGGAGGGGACTCCACTGTGCCATGGCACCTCCTCCGCCCTCCCCTTCTCTGAAGACCCTGCTGGCTCAGCCGCCTTGAGTAAAGGGTCAGTGGGAACCACAGGCGCAGTGGCCCACCTCAGGCTGAGGCTTCTCTGGGCCACATTACAGGGGCCCCCTGGGAAGCCCTGCCCTGCCAAGGCCCGGGGTCCAGCAGGGCCAGCCCTGGGGCCCTGCAAAGGGTCACTGCGCAGCGCCGGGACGAGTCACAAGCTCTCTGAGGCTTCCGATGGGACCCTTGGCTCCGCAGAAGCCGTTAAGCAGTTGTAAGCAGTGAAGACAGCTTAGAAGGACCACCTCCTAAGGCCGGTCACAGACCACAGAGCCAGGCCCAGCATGGGGGCCACCGGGCATGCCAAGGGCCAGGGAGGGGGCACACGGGCCCTGAGAAGAGGCACAGCCCACCCCCACCCCACGGAGGAGAAAGGAGGCCTGTCGGCCCCAAGAAGCCGGCCCTGCGTGTGGGGAGGGCAGGCAGCGGGGACCTGAGCACCTCACAGTGTCTGTAGAGCCCAGTCCAGACTCCTGGCCCCTGTGGAGGCTGCACCTGAGCCCCGTCCATGCGCAGTACCCTCGAGAGCCCTGGGGCAGCTGTGCCCCAAGTCTGCTGCCAGATGCACGGGGCACAGAGAGGGACCCAGGGTCCCGGCCAGCCAGAGCCACACTCTGCAGAGTCGGCAGGCTGGGCCTAAGTGCAGCCCCATGGACACCCCCATGCCCCCGCCCCGGCCACCGCGGTGGCCACCCCCACATCCACACCCCCAGGCGCCCGCAGTACTGCTCTGAGCTGGCGGCCCCTCTCAGAGGCGCCAGGCTTTGGACCCCTCCCTCCAACATCCTTGACCCACAGCTTCTTTTTTATGAATCCTAGAGTTTAATGCCCAAATGTTTCTCTCAAAAGAGACACGGGGGTTGCC